CCTCTGCCTCTGACCTCCTGCCAGTGCCTGCCTCCGACCTCTGACCTCCTGGCGGTGTGGCAGAGGATTGGAGAGCTGGTCGGCGCCGGCTGGAGCGACGACGAGCGTCTCGTGCTGGTGGACGCCGCCGGCCAGGTGTCCATGTACGACATGTTCGGCCGCCTGGAACACACGCTCAGTCTGGGCCAGGTCAGTTGTGTGGATGCGTGGCTGAGCCAGGGTTGGGCGACTCCCAGCAGGGGCGTGTGGGCGGGATCGGCCGTCAGCGGGGTATGCCTCTGGTTGCGACAGGCCGCGCCAGAGGTGGCCACCTCTCACCAGGGGGGTGTACGTAGGGTCGGCCTTCAGCGGGGTATGTGTCTGGGTGAGACAGGTTGAGCCGGAGGGAGACACCTCGGAAGTAATGGGACTACCACGGTGTCTACCCCCCTGAAGCGTGCCGTTCCGGCCTCATGCTGTCGTCATGTCTGCTCGTCGGAGGCCCCCTCCCCGCCCGTGACTTCCGCCGTCGCCGCAGGAGGTGAAGAAGTACACGGTGGCCTCAGCCGAGGTGTTCCTCAGCCATCAGGGTACGGGGCTGGCCGTGCTCTGCAAGAACCACCGTTTCTACATGACCACTTCACTGGACAAGCCGCTGGTGAAGAAGCTGCCGGAGGCCACTGGTAGGTCACCATCCAATCCTTGTCCCCAACGGCCCGGCCGGATGCCTGGCAACGCAGTATATCTCTGGATTGGTCGGTCGCACTTTCTAGGCGTTTCTGTCACAGCTCAGCGTGACCAAATGTTATCGCTCGTAGCGGCTCTAAGATGTGCTGTTTATTGTGAGTCAGTGAGACATCAGATGGCTGCCACATGTTGCCCAGCCGTCCGCGAGGGCCACCTCAGCGGCTGTACTCGTGCCCACCAGGTGGCAGCGCAGCGCCCAGCTGCTGGGCGGTGACAGCCGGCCGCTACCGATCGGCGCTGCTGGTAGCCAAGGGTCTGGAGATCTCCCTGCTGGAAGCAGACTCCAAGGCTCAGCCACTGGTGAGGCGGGCGCACCGCGTGTCCCCGCCTCATGGACCTGCTGCTTGGATGGTGTCAGTGGCACTGACGCGCTATCGGCGAACTGGAGACACGTTTGACGGATCTGTGTCTTGTTTGTCTAAAAGGGCAACTGTGTCTGACCACCCTGCTGGCTTCTCTTTCCCCGCACCTCTACTGTTTCACATAAGCACGTTTTACAAGACATGTGATTTATTCGGTTGTATCGTTGTCACGTTGCTGCTATAATATCTGATGGCTGCTTATTTTCCATCTGATATATTCCTAGACAGCCGCACGAGGCCAGTCCCCTGTTTTGCGAGCTGGTGTTACCGTGACAGTGCCACGTTTCGGCTGTGTGCCGCCAGCCGGCGCCACTGCCGTCGACCGCCCAGCGCGTGACGCAGCTGGTGACGAACCGGGCCGGTGACCTGCTGGCCCTGCTCACCGACACCGGCCATCTGGTGATGACGTCACTGGACCTGCGCCAGGTGTTCTGCACCGTCGACACGGACGTCCGCCAGCCGGCCAAGCAACTGGAGTGGTGAGACACGCGGGGATAAGGGCAGGAGGCAGTCCGCCAGCCGGCCAAGCAGCTCGAGTGGTGAGACACGCGGGGATAAGGGCAGGAGGCAGTCCGCCAGCCGGCCAAGCAGCTCGAGTGGTGAGACACGCGGGGATAAGGCAGGAGGCAGTCCGCCAGCCGGCCAAGCAGCTGGAGTGGTGAGACACGTGGGGATAAGGGCAGGAGGCAGTCCGCCAGCCGGCCAAGCAGCTCGAGTGGTGAGACACGCGGGGATAAGGGCAGGAGGCAGTCCGCCAGCCGGCCAAGCAGCTCGAGTGGTGAGACACGCGGGGATAAGGGCAGGAGGCAGTCCGCCAGCCGGCCAAGCAGCTGGAGTGGTGAGACACGCGGGGATAAGGGCAGGAGGCAGTCCGCCAACCGGCCAAGCAGCTCGAGTGGTGAGACAACGCGGGGATAAGGGCGGAGGCAGTCCGCCAGCCGGCCAAGCAGCTGGAGTGGTGAGACACGTGGGGATAAGGGCAGGAGGCAGTCTGCCAGCCGGCCAAGCAGCTCGAGTGGTGAGATACGCGGGGATAAGGGCAGGAGGCAGTCCGCCAGCCGGCCAAGCAGCTCGAGTGGTGAGACACGCGGGGATAAGGGCAGGAGGCAGTCCGCCAGCCGGCCAAGCAGCTCGAGTGGTGAGACACGCGGGGATAAGGGCAGGAGGCAGTCCGCCAGCCGGCCAAGCAGCTCGAGTGGTGAGACACGCGGGGATAAGGACAGGAGGCAGTCCGCCAGCCGGCCAAGCAGCTCGAGTGGTGAGACACGCGGGGATAAGGACAGGAGGCAGTCCGCCAGCCGGCCAAGCAGCTCGAGTGGTGAGACACGCGGGGATAAGGACAGGAGGCAGTCCGCCAGCCGGCCAAGCAGCTCGAGTGGTGAGACACGCGGGGATAAGGGCAGGAGACAGTCCGCCAACCGGCCAAGCAGCTCGAGTGGTGAGACACGCGGGGATAAGGGCAGGAGGCAGTCCGCCAGCCGGCCAAGCAGCTGGAGTGGTGAGACACGCGGGGATAAGGACAGGAGGCAGTCCGCCAGCCGGCCAAGCAGCTCGAGTGGTGAGACACGCGGGGATAAGGGCAGGAGGCAGTCCGCCAGCCGGCCAAGCAGCTCGAGTGGTGAGACACGCGGAGATAAGGACAGGAGGCAGTCCGCCAGCCGGCCAAGCAGCTCGAGTGGTGAGACACGCGGGGATAAGGGCTCCTTTAGTGTCGCACTTTGCACCGAATTGTTGCACCTCCTTGGACGGTGTTCCTTCTTCGTCTGCATAGCGCCTGTCGTGCGCACGTCGGCGGTGCTTCCCGGTGTAGTCGCGCTGGCTCGTCCGCGCCGCGATGCCCCCAGCTCACCACAGTCACACCGTCACCCAGGGCGTCGTCGCCGCATCCGAGCGACGCGCGCCGTCGGCGCCTCCTCCCGCCCCCCTGGTCCGCGGCCCTCAGCAGCGCCTCTGAGGCAGGCCCCAGGCCCTCACCGGAGGCGGACGCCCACCACCTGCTGCCAGTGCGGCTCGTACACCTCCTCCCGCCCCCCTGGTGCACGCCCTTAGCCGCGCCTCTGAGGCAGGCCCCAGGCCCTCACCGGAGGCGGACGCCCACCATCTGCCGCCAGGTGCGGCTCGTACGCGGTGGTCGGCTACTGGCAGAGCCGGTTGCTGGTGGTGAGCCGACGCGGCGACACCATCACCTACTCGCTGGACGCCCCCGGCCGACTCTGCTCCGAGAACGACTGCATCCGTCTCGTCACCGCCTACAGCCACGAGCTCATCGAACAGGTGCGGGGCGCGGCCACCAACCTGTGGAAAAGGGGTGGAAGTGTTCCGTCGTGCATCGTCTTGCAGTTCTTATATTGTCCAATAGGCTGGTGGAAATATCACGCCGTACGGTTATGGGTTGGTTGGGTTGCGAAAACCATTGCTGCGAAAAATCCGCCACAACATGCTTCTGTGTAGGTGGGGGACTTCTGTTATGGAGGGGCCGTCGCAATAATGCCCGCGGCCCCAACAACCCCGTTACGTAGGTTCGTCAGCCCAATGCTATGATCGGCACCAGGAAGAGCGCGGCTGGGTGGTGACGCCGCTCGCTCCGCCCCGTCCGGTGACGCGCGCCCTGCGCCGGCAGGTGTGGAGCGACTCTGCGGCCGTGTTCCGCATCGGCTCCATGGACCCGGCCGCCGTCCTTCTGGAGACCTACCGCGAGTACGAGGTGTGACGCCCGGCTCTCTGACGCTGCTGATGGGGCCGTGTGGCCGTCATGCTCTCCTCGTGCTGGTGCTTGATGGCTGCATCTACACGACGCTCAGATCCACTTCTTGTCATGTTCTGCACCTATGCGATGGGGTTGCTGTGTCATTTCCAGCCGCTTGTGTTGTAAATGTTGTAATTCTCCACACTCTCGGGCCACGACTGTGAGCTGTTGCCCATGGCTGGCCATGATCAGCCTCCACCTCAGTGTGTGCCTCTCCATCTGGGCCGCTCTGTGCGACACACCCTATGCCTGTCCCGGGCGCCAGTCGGCCTGCAATCCGCGGCCGCCGCGCTGACCGGCGTGTCGTGGGCCTCAGAAACGCAGCCACCGCGCCGACGAGTACCTGCGCATGATCTGGAACCAGCTAAAGCAGGCCGTCACGTCGTGCGTAGAAGCGGCCGGCCATGAGCATAGTGCCGAGCTCCAGAAGCTGTTGCTCAGGGTCAGTGCGGCGCTGCCTGTCGTGGGACGGCGCACCGGGCAGCCTTGCGTTGGGTCTGCTGGGGCCGTTAGAACAACTTTTGGTGTTTTGCTTCACGTCAGGAGCCATTCAAATGTGAACATTTTGGTAGCCACACCAGTATTTGCGGGGTTCCGGTAGTGTAGTGGTAAACGCGTCTGCGTTAACCACTGCGCGTCTGGGAAACCAGTGGTACGGGGTTCGATTCCCCGCGGTGCCCGCCCTTCCTGCCAGGGTGAGAGGCAGGCAACGCCAAATAGCCTCAGTAGCTGAGTGCGTCGTAAAGCCTCAATGACACACGCACACACACACACACACACACACACACACACACACACACACACACACACACACACACACACACACACACACACACGCACACGCACACGCACACGCACACGCACACGCACACACCAGTATTTGCCGCTTTTCATGTACACACGATACATGTGTGTGGTAAATTGGTGTTTTTTGGCGGTTATTTTGGTTGTCATGATACCATATTGGTCTAATAATGGGAGGTAATTTGGCCCTGTTCCGAGCCGTCCATGTTTTTTTTTTATCCCCATGAGTGTCATCCAAAAGAAAAATGCATGACTGTCGTCTTATATTGTCTTCCGCTGATACAGAATATTCCTGTCCTTCCTGTCATTCGCCTTCAGCTCAGTATGGTGTGTTCAGCTAGTGACTGTGGGTGTCGTCTGGTGGCCTCTATACGGCCTCTCCTCGTTGGCAGGCGGCTCAGTACGGCAAAAGCTTTATCCCGGAGCTGATGGATCCGGAGCCGTACGTCTCCACGTGCCGGTATCTGCGCGTGCTCAACTCGCTGAGGCACCACAGCCACGGCATGCCGCTCACCATGGGGCAGTGAGTGCGGCGCGCCGGCAGCGGCTGTCTGAGCGTGCCTTGCGCGAGGCTTTGGTCGGTTGCGAAGAAAACTGATTGCTGTGGGGACGATTCAGGGATGATGACAAAGGCGCGTTCAGGTGGTACTTCTCCCCTGGTACGTACATCGTTGCGTCAGCCAATGATCCTCGTGTTCATCTATTGCATTCCACTATAACTCCCGTCCACTCTCCGCTTGCCTGGACGACTGCCACCCCAGCCCATGGACGGGCTGGGTGACATCAGTCTCCACCCGTCTGGTCTGGAGCTGGAGCTGAGGCCCCACGGCCCCAGCCACTTGCGTCGCCTGTCCGCAGCACCCTGTGCCCCACGCCGACCGATGGCCCGTCCCCCACAGGCTGCGCGAGATGCCCGTCTCGATGCTGCTGGACCGTCTGATGCGCCGGCGGCTGCACTTCCTGGCGCTGCGCGTGTGCCGCCACCTGGAGGTGCCGCGCGCCGACGGCGAGCGTCGCGTTCTTGAGGCCTGGGCCAAGCACGTGGTGGTGGCCGCCGGCGCTGACGGCGCGGACGGCAAGCACGTGGCGCGCGAGATCGCCGACCGGCTCGGCACCCAGTCGGGCATCTCGTTCGCCGACGTGGCCAAGACGGCCATCGAAGCCGGCAAGCGCGGCACTGCCATCCAGGTGACGGGCCGGAGCGGGACGGGCCAGCTGGCGCACCGATCACCGGGGCGGGGCGGGCCAGATGACGGCGGGCTGGTGTACCGATCACCGGGGGGAGTGAGCCGGATGACGGCCGGCTGGTGTGCAGATGACCGGCGCGGCGAGCGTGTCGGGGCGGCACGGACGGGGATCTGACATGCTTTGCTGCACCGGCGTCCAGCTCTGCTTGTGCCACCATTATCCAACTAGGGCTAGTTAGACACACAGGTGCTTTGGATAGTACTGCTATCGGCCGAACCGTGGTGGGTGCGTCTCCATTTTGCTGGGGGCCTGGCGTTTCCGCACAGCGTGCTCCTCATCTCTGGCTGGGTGGCATCGATGCCCGGCGTGGCCCGCTCGCTGTGCTCTTACCTGACCTGGCCGACTACCCACCCGACCTGACCAGGAGGCTCGCCGCACTGCGTGGCTGACCTGACGTGACCTGACCTGGCCAGCTGCTGGCGCTGGAGCAGCAGGCGCGCCGCACCGTGCCGCTGCTGATCGACCTCAACATGTGCGACGAGGCTTTGCAGCGCGCCGCCGCCTCGGGTGACCCGGGCCTGGCCCACTCGGCCCTGTTGCAGCTACGCGACGCCAGGGGGCGCGCCGAGTTCCAGGTGAGCGCTGGCGCTGGGGGCGGGGCGGGCTGAGCTCCTGGTGAGGTTTGGCAGCGCCGGCCCCGCTGCCTGGCCGTTTGTTGGGCCTGACGGCTGCGTGGCGCCCGTTTCAGATGCTGATAAGGAACTATCCGCTGATGCAGTCTCTGTACGTGAAGTATCTGCGCGGCCGTGGCCAGACCGAGCTGCTGCGGGACACCATGATCCAGGAGGACGACTTTCATGGCCAAGGCCTGCTACGGGTCAGGGAGGCCTACCAAGAGACAGTAAGGCTGGGTGCCAGGGGCCTACCGACGGTGGTGCTGCTGAGGGCCAAGGAGGTGCCTGCTACGGGTCAGGGAGGCCTACCAAGAGACAGTAAGGCTGGGTGTCTGGGGCCTACCGACGGTCGTACTGCTGAGGGCCAAGGAAGTGTGCTAGAAGGTAGTGCGATTAAGGGTCGGAGAAGGGTATCAGGAGACGGTGAAGCGTAGAGCCAGGGAGGTTCGGCAGGAAACGGGAGGGCTGACGGCCAGGAGACAGCGAGGCTTAGAGTCGGGGAGATCGGCTCAGTACCAGGAGGCGATCGGATGGAGATTGGGTATCGTGCCAGCTCATTACTCACCACCATCACTGGCTGCCATGGAGTTTTTTTAGGAGTATTTTGGAGGCATGTCGGTGGCGTCCGACACTTCCGTCGTTCGTCGTCCTTGCCTCACTGATTGCTATAGAACCACGAGACGCCCCCTGGCCGCAGAGGGTGGACCTTCGCATATCACATCTAGTCGCCGCCCAGGACTGCTTCAAGAAAGCAAAAAACGATTTCTTCGCCACCCAGACTGAGGACCAGCACAAGCTGCTGAAACGGCAGGTGAGCTGATCCCACGGATAACGTTATTGTTCGGACTATCGTCCTTGTCTGACGGGTCAGTACGAATACAATATTTCGGCCAGTCTGTTGTCCAGCATTCGCCAGGTGTTAGCGAGTGCTGAGGAAGACTGGATGGTGTTTGGCGTTCGGCCATATACGCGTGACGGCCCACAGTTTCCCCTCGGCATTGCTGGGTTTCGAACCGGGGTCTTCTGATTGCGAATGCAGCGCTCTACCACCTAACGAACCGGGAAGAACATAATCAGGAACGAAGGGCGAGCTAATCTGTCCTTCCCGATTACCTCGATGGTAGCGTGTTGGACTCATAACACCCCTGTTCAGAAGACGAATCCCAGTTCGAATCCCAGCAACTCCAAGGAGAAAATTTGGTTTGTGACACATGCCTGATACCCAAACACCATACAGTCCTTCTCAGGGTTCCATAACAACTGAAGACGGCCGGGGGCTCACCGGACCGAAGCGTTGTGTATGTACCATCAAATCAGGTCAGGAGAAAAGTCTGAATGATACTTCCAATCGTGATACTGATCCTAGTCAACCATTTCGTAAGACTGACACCTGTTCTAGCTGTGTATGGATGACGCATAAATCCCATTACACCCTTGCTTGATCCAACTGAGCCGCTAGACCGTCGCTGCTGCTTCGAGCCCCTGAATGTCTGGACAGACTGCTCCCTCTGTGGGCGGCCGTCCGTCAGTGCGGTGTCGCTCCGGCAGTCAAACCTGGAGGAGAAGTTTAACCGGGAGTACGTGGGGCTCTCGCTGCACGACACCATCAGTCGGCTCATCCTGTACGGAGAGCTGAAGCTGGCCGACAGCCTGCGGGCCGAGTACAAGATCTCCGACAAACGGTGCGGAACCCTGTCCGGGGGTTCCCCCGCGCCCGAGCGGCGCTGGGTGCCGGCTGGGCCGGTCGTGTGATGGCGCTTCGGTGTCGCCGCCGTCAGATGCTCGGGTGTATCTTGCTCTGAACAATCGCCGGGCGCTGACGTGAGGGCTAAACGAGCATCACTAGTCGGAAAGGATCGGCCAATTTGTATTGTTTCTCCTTGGCACGTGATTGCCGCACCTAAGCCTGTGGAGTAGCTGTCTTGGTGTCTGCTTCTCTCCAGTAGCGCGGACGGCCAGGTCCCGGAGCGCTGCCGGGCGGCCGCGGCCGTCCGCGTGTGGTTCCCGAGGTCCTTGCCGGGCCACACCCCCGGCCGCGTGTGGTTCCCCGAGGCCTCTGTCGGGCTACGCCCCCGGCTGTTTGTGGTTCCCCGAGGCCTCTGTCGGGCCACACCCCCGGCCACGTGTGGTTCCCCCGAGGCCTCTGCCGAGCCACTACCCCGGCATTGTGTGGTTCCCCGAGGCCTCTGTCGGGCCACGCCCCCGGTCGCGTGTGGTTCCCCCGAGGCCTCTGCCGAGCCACTACCCCGGCATTGTGTGGTTCCCCGAGGCCTCTGTCAAGCCACGCCTCCGGCTGCAGTTTCTGGTGGACCAAACTTCTGGCGCTAGCCGAGGCCAGTCAGTGGGTCGAACTAGAGCAGTTTGCCAAGAGCAAGAAGTCGCCCGTGGGATACGAGGTGAGTATAGCACACGGCGGCGACGGCGGCTGACGTGCAGCACGACTGGCTCGGGGATCAGCCGAGTTATTCTGCTTTGTACGGGGAATAACGTGCCTGCTGTCGGTGTGTTCCTAGAGTCTGACAGGCAAGTTTGACGCGAAAATCCAGGTGTATCTTGTTATGAAAGGAAGCGGTCGGAGGCATTTTATTATTGTTAGAACAAAAGACATCAGGGAGCAAATATTGCAACATTGCCCGCCCTATAGCTTCGCCTTTGGCATGTTGCGCGACGTGGGCTGTGTGGGCTCACGTCGTGGGCCGGTCTCATCAGCCGTTCGTGGATGCGTGCATGGAGCACGGCAACCTTCATGAGGCGAAGAAGTACCTGGCGCGGGTGGCCGACGACAAGAAAGTCAAGTACTACGCCAAAGTCGGGTAAGCGTCCTGGTCTCTCCCGCGACAGGACCCTCTGGATGTTTCGTGTCAAAACATCGACGCACGGCGGCTGATCGTCGCGATGGGATAGTGTTAGCGGCCTGTGGACAAGAGCCCTTTTTTGGCCATTTCTTGAGCCGTTTTTCACTCGCGCGTAGAACGCAATGTCCTTTGGCGCCCGAAAACGCACCGCCATCATCGGTCCGACAGCACCCCTCGCGCCGCAGGAACCTAGAGGAGGCAGCCAGGATCGCGCACGAGCAGCGCGACCGACAGGCGCTGGCTTACGTGGAGAGTCTGTGCGGCAACAACAACCGGGCGCTGCTGGAGCAGATCAGCCAGTACCGGCAGGCGCTCAAGCCGTAGCGGCACGGCACGGCACGGCACGGCATGCCGCGGGCGGGGCGGCGGGCGCCGGTAACCGATGACGCAGGTGTGGATGACGCAGGACGCGCATGCTTACCGCCTCTGCAGACGACTTATCGTTCAGTTTGTTTCTGTGGAGAACCCCACCGTAGCTCCAGCGTGGCGCTGTTTTGGGCAGGTTGCCCGAAGTGTAAGTGAAGACAGTTGGCCCTCCGCCGCAGTGTGCAGGGCAAGTTATGGAATACATGATTGTGTCGTACTATGGCGACATGAGAAGGAAATATATCATAGAATATACTTGGGACGCTTCATGTCGGCATTGCATGCTACGCACTCTAAAGCAGATTTGCGCCCTGGAAATATCCTTCATCCCCCTTTCGCTATCCCTCCCCGCCTCGAACGAAAGGAGGCATGCAAACGCTCCACACCAGTGGCGAAGACAGGATTTCGTCCAGGTCAATTTTAGTCACAGAGGCCCTTCCGGTCGATGGCCCCTTCGATTGTGCGGGCGTTTTGGCACCAAAAACGTGTGCCTAGCTTTTCCGGTGCCTGAGAAGTGGTGGTTTTTTAGGAACGCTGCACGGCGATCTACAGTCGACGATTCCGATCGACAGCCGACATTCCATTCCGATTCCGCGCGCGGCTGGTTGGCTTTTCAATTAAAGCCCTGCATCATAACTATATCCTCAAAACACAAAAACTACACACCATTGCACTTCGAATCGAGCAATGAACAAGGTCTTGCTGCCAAGGTTTTGGGTCGCTGCGGGGTCGTCGTGACGAGCGAAGAAGAAAAAAATATTCGCAATCGTCTTACACATACGATTGCGTAAGGCTGAAAATTCGACTTTGGGGTAAATTTAACCCTTTCACCCACCTTGGTGGGGCCAATTATAGAACTAGCAACAACAAACTGATTAATAATTAGGAGATCTCGTAGGGACAAGTCCACTGTCTTTTCCACGAGAACCTTCGTTTGGAAACGGCATGGGGTCGCATCCCCCTATAAATCTATGTTATGGAAAGCTAGGGAATCAGGCGAGAGTAGCATACAACAGATGGTTCTGGTTTGGTTTTTTTGCGAAAAACTAGCGAATTAGGCGAGGGTATGGCGCAACAGATGCTAACGTGACGCATTTCTCCCCGAACGGTTTGATAGACGGACAGAGTCCCGCACCAACACTTACCCGTCTTCACGCCGCTGGGCTTGCTTCCGCAGTGAAACTTCCATTAAAATACATCCTGCTTTCGGCGTGTACTTCATGCCACTAACAGATCGACTCGAACAGGATGCCGGGGTGCCGATATTGCAGTGGTTAACGCGCTTGCGTTAACCATCGCGCGTGTGGGAAATCAGGGGTACGGGGTCCGATTCCTCGCCCTTCCCCCTAGGGTGAGACGGGTGCCGCCATATAGCCTCCGCAGCTGAGTGCGTGATAAAGCCCAAATGATGACGAACTGCAGACTAGGATATGCATCCTTAAGCGACGGCCTGTATTTCAGGAACGTCAGCAGATTCGCTTCCGTCGGCAGCTACACGGCTTCACCATTACCATAGCAGGGTGTAAGGCGATGCCGGTCAGGTTATGGTCCTCGGAAGCAAGCCGCTCGGTAAACTGACACTTCGTTCGATCAAACAGTATTGCAACACTCAAACGCGATAAACAAAGCGAGTACACACGAGATACATGTATCGTGGGCCAATACGGTGGTACCCGGCGTATCAATGTTCGAGAACTGGTGAACTAAATGCACCATGTGCTTTCAGCCTGGGTTCACTCAGGCTCATCATACCCATGATATAGGGTGCCGTGCCGGATACGAGGCACAGCCGTTGCAGCGTCGCAGAGCCGGGCAGACCCGCGCCGCGTCCCTGCCGCCAGCCGACACAGGTAGCCCCGTCCGGCCGGACAACGGCAGCCGGCGGAGGCCGACGCTCCCGCCTGGGGAGCGGGGACCGCCGCCGGGAGGCAGGGGCACCAGCTACGGCCAGGAAGGGGTCAGACGGCGGCGCTCAGCTGGGCGGCGTCAGCTGCTCCGACAGACAGGCGATCAGCGCCTTACCGTTGATCATCTTGGTCGTGGCTACCACGTACTCGGTGGGAGCTGAAACACGCCACGGTGCCGATCAACTGGCGCCTTGGGACCATGACGCGAACACGGAGCACGGGCCGGCTTCCGAAGATCGGTCAGGTGACATCGTGTCAGGGATCCCCGCTGCTGCACCAGCCTTGTCCGCATCAGGGATCCGCACTGCTGCACTAACCTTGTCCACATCAGGGGTGCCCACTGCTAGACCAGCTTTGTCCACATCAGGGATCCCCACTACTGCACCAGCCTTGTCCACGTCAGGGATGTCCACTGCTGCACCAACCTTGTCCACATCAGGGATGCCCACTGCTGCACCAGCCTTGTCCATAACAGGGATCCCCACCGCTGCACCAGCCTTGTCCACATCAGGGACGCCTCCGCTGCACCAGCCTTGTCCACATCAGGGATCCCCACCGCTGCACCAGCCTTGTCCACATCAGGGACGCCCACCGCTGCACCAGCCTTGTCCACATCAGGGATCCCCACCGCTGCACCAGCCTTGTCCACATCAGGGATCCCCGCCGCTGCACCAGCCTTGTCCACATCGCAGTGATGCAGACGATCACACTCGCGGTCATGTTACATGTCACTGATGTGTCACACTGCGCAGGGAAATAAATAAACGGGGAAGTTTATCCTGCAACGAAATCGAAATAGTAGAAGCCGTCGTGCCCACGGACGCCCTGCCCCGCCATCCATTCACGAGACGCGCTGCTCTCCACTATAACCATCGCAGTCACCACCGCAGCGACCACCCGTCACCAACTCCTCCCCGTCCTCCCCATCCTCACCGTCCTCCTGGCCGGAGAGGAAGCGGAGCGCGGCCACCTCTGCGAATGTGACGCCGCCCAGGAAGAAGACCAGCGTGAGCCGGGCGTCGTCGGCGGCCAGGCCGAGCGGACCCGTGTCGCGCCGGTTGCGGGCCGCCGCCGGCGCCCGTTGCTCCTCCTGCAGCGTGTCCCCCGGCAGCAGCGCCAGTGCGTCGGCCGACGAGCGCCAGCCCGGACGCGCCAGCAGCTGCGCCAGCCGCACCGACAGCGGCGCGTACCTATCGCACGACAGCACACGGCGCGCTGAACGCGGCGCTCGACACCACGGCCAGTGGGGTTGCGGGCGCGCAGTAGACGCACACAAGAAGTAGTGGCGGAGCGAGCGCCGACTGCATGGGGGAGAACTTGGGTACGTCAAGAGCACACACCAGCCAGTGTGATGCTGATGAAATTCGGGCGGCACCTGCAGGACTCATCAGCGGGGTGACATCGGCAACAAAAGGGTGCGTTCATTACAGAATCAGACGTCTTCCGTTGAACTGAAGGCTTTACAAACCGCAAATGACCACGACATTCAGAACTGTAGCTAGAGTAACTTGCACGCAACAGAGACTTTCGTGCACAGTATGCGTGCAACAAATACAGTAAATACGGTTCGGTAAGAACGTTACAGAATGTCCTAAAGCGATCATCACGACAAAAAACGTCGACTTTAGTTTGAGACCCCGACGACGGAGGCCTTTCAACGTGTTTCCTGAGCACCAAGTCCGAAAAGCATTGAGAACATGGCATCAAGCGCTACACCGCGTGGTGTTATACAGACGAGTGTGAGGAGCCTGCGCATGATCTAGACTACTTACCACCGGAAGCGGGTCGTCCGGCGAGTCTTTTCGCGGTACACGGGTCAACAACAGCTGTGAGCAGCCGGCACCGGTCCAAAACCACAAAGAAACCAGCTGACTTTGTGCTGTTCCAGCACTATACTTGACTATGCAGATCAAAAACAAGTGCTGCTCTGCAGCTTATCTTTCAAGCAATTACTGTCGCGCGGCCACTTTTTGCAGAACACTTTTCTACATTATGGCCTCGCCAACTACTCAGCCCGAACTATGGGCATTTTTCGCCGGCAGACAATGCGCCAATTACCATTATGCACGGTGTTGCCGCGAGACACCTTACCCCTCACGCCACTTAGCAAGCCACCAGACCAAAACAAGCCTGTTTTCCACTTCACTCGTTTGCACGTGGTTTACATTGCCGAACGTCCATCGGAAGCAGCCCCACACGTAGATATATATCCCTGATCCTCCTACCAGCAATCATATATTTTTCGCTAACAGGCGATACTCGACTGCTGATGGAAATGTTCATGGTTAAAAACCATGTGCCGATGTTCACCTTTTCGACGAAAAATTCTCCTTAACCCGTGCGGAGTCAAAGAGGAACGCGGGCAGCCTCCATGACCGATGCACACACGTCAGGTCGCACTGTCGAACACAGAGCGGTGATGTGACCTCCAGGGGCGTGGCGCGCTCGCCCCTCGCCCCGCCCTCCGCTGCTCTCCTGCCGCCGACATACCCGCTGAACGTGTAGGAGATGTCGGTGGGCGCCTGCTCGTTGACGTCGTCAACGGTGAGGCGGAACGCGCGGCGCAGTGCGGCGTAAGAGCCGCGCCCCTGCGCGCGCAACAGGCCGGCCCGCTCCAGCTGGTCCAGCGTGGCCGCGTGCTGGAAGCCATACGTCAGCAGCAGGTCGCGGCGGTACTGGTCGAGCAGACGCTGCCGCAGGCCCGAGCTGCACGCCGACTGCAGGCACAGCAGCCGCAGCACCTGGACATCGGGGGGGGGGGGGGGAGGGGGAGGGGGACGTCAGGCGGGGGATAGCACGGGCGCGCCCCGTCAAAGGAGGGGACGGAAGATCGGCGAGGCTCTGTGGGCCTGAGCAACCATCGATGATGAACTTATCCGCCCAAAATAAACAAAGATCGGTTGTAATGGCCGATCACCGCGAGTAGTCGGCTCCGACAGCCATCCTCCCAGATCGCTCGATCGCCAGCTGGCGTCAGCTCTCAAAAAGCACAGGCACCAAACGAGTAACATGTGCATTTGACGCATGGAGGATGGGGAGCCGGCGGCAGCGCGTGTCACGGCCTGTCTGGTCAGGTGAGCCCGTCTCCCACCTTGGTGAGGTCGGCCTTCCTCGCGATCAGTTCCTCGATGTGCGGCTGCGGCCGTTCGGTGTCGATACCATTCATCATCTCCTGCTCAGCCTGCAGCGACTCGAGAAACGCCTCGCTGTCCGTCCGCTCCTTGATTAGCTCGGCGATCGAGGTGTCTGCACGACCCCCGCCCGACGGCGGCGGTCAGTAACGGGTCATGACGGGTCGACACAGGGGTCATACTGCGGGGCCAAAACCGACAACAGCGGGTCAGCAGAAGTAAGGGCGGGTCGGCACAGGGGTCACACCGCAGACAACACCCGACAGCAGCGGATCAACAGAGGTCAGGGCGGGTCGACACGGGGGTCACACCGCACACCACACCCGAAAGCAGCGGATCAACAGAGGTCAGGGCGGGTCGACACAGGGGTCACACCGCAGACCACATCTGACAGCAGCGGACCAGCAGAGGTCAGGGCGGGTCGACACAGGGGTCACACCGCACACCACACCCGACAGCAGCGGATCAACAGAGGTCAGGGCGGGTCGACACAGGGGTCACACCGCAGACCCCACCCGACAGCAGCGGATCAACAGAGGTCAGAGCGGGTCGACACAGGAGTCACACCGCAGACCACACCCGACAGCAGCGGATCAACAGAGGTCAGGGCGGGTCGACACAGGGGTCACACCGCAGACCACACCCGACAGCAGCGGATCAACAGAGGTCAGGGCGGGTCGACACAAGAGTCACACCGCAGACCACATCTGACAGCAGCGGACCAACAGAGGTCAGGGCGGATCGACACAGGGGTCACACCGCAGACCACACCCGACAGCAGCGGACCAACAGAGGTCAGGACGGATCGACACAGGGGTCACACCGCAGACCACACCCGACAGCAGGGGATCAACAGAGGTCACGACGGGTCCACACAGAAGTCAGAGCGAGTCGACACAGGGGTCAGGGCGGGTTGACACAGGGGTCAGGGCGGGTCGACACAGAGGTCAGGGCGGGTCGACACAGGGTCAGGGCGGGTCGATGCAGGGGTCAGGGCGGGTCGACGCAGGGGTCAAGGTGGGTCGACACAGGGGTCGGGGCGGGTCGACAGAGGTCGGGACGGGTCGACACAGGGGTCAGGGCGGGTCGACACAGGGGTTGGGGCGGGTCGACACAGGGGTCAGGGCGAGTCGACACAGGGGTCAGGGCGGGTCGACACAGAGGTCAGGGCGGGTCGACACGGGGGTCAGGGCGGGTCGACGCAGGGGTCAGGGCGGGTCGACGCAGGGGTCAGGGCGGGTCGACACAGGGGTCGGGGCGGGTCGACAGAGGTCAGGGCGGGTCGACACAGGGGTCACGGCGGGTCGACACAGGGGTCACGGCGGGTCGACACAGGGGTCAGGGCGGGTCGACACAGGGGTCACACAGCGGACTTCAATCCGAATGTCATATACCGCCACGCAGCGAAGGTGATACGCACGATCGTCCTATCTAGACAGACGCGCAACTTCCTGACGTTCTTAGCTTTTTAATGACAAAGACACAAACCACCTTCGAGCACGTCATGCATGCACCCGCCTTACTGCACGCCCTTTTGGTTCCTTGTCGTTCAGCCGTGTACGCACCCCGCCCGTGCGGACAGCTACAGACACAGGTCCAATGGGGACGGCTACAGACGCAGGTCCAGTGGGGACGGCTACAGGCGCAGGTCCAGCGGACGGTTTCCCGTGCCAAACGCAAATACAAATGCAGATATCGGTGGCGAGCGGAAGAGAGCGCTTGCCGGGACCATCCCACGCAGAAAACGTACGGAGGGCGAGGGACTCCTTGGCGGATTTAATGGATGGCAAAACGTTCTTGACGAAGTTTTTCATCTCGCTGACCGACTGGGAGTGCCGTTCTTCATACTGGGCCGATATCTGCTTCGCCTTTTTGCTCAGTGCTGGGCCCACCGCGTTAAAATTCTTATCTCTGCAGCGTGACAACGAAAGGTTTGGGTTAACAAGTGTTCCGTCTGGCGGCAGCTGCACATTCGTCCGGCCGGGCACAGAATGTTTTATGAATGTTCCGTTTGGAGGTACCTGTAGCACGGAATGTCCTATCGCTGCGTGTCTGTGAAGGCTGAGACAGTGCTACCGGATCGGTGTAACGGTCACAGAAGCCAGCAGAGGGTCACGCGATCACACGTAAGTTCATCGTCCGCGCCACCAAGAACAGACACGCATGCAGAGGCCAGCCACGTGTCGACCAGACTGGCGGCCGTTCGCGGGGTGTTCCCCTCTCTCGAGTCCGCCGCGGTTCGGCCCCATCGACGCCCGACGCCCGGCGGCCGACCCGGCTGTTCTCACCTGACGTCGGCGTACAGCTCCTCGGCGGAGCTGAGCAGAAACTGCTTCCGCTCGTTCTGCAGCTCGATGGGGCCGCCGTCCGATTTGGTGAACTTCTCTGACGGCAGCCTGACCGTGTCTGGTCAGAAGAGAGGGGGGGGGGGGGGGGTCAGACAGGGCACGCTAGGACGAGCCGAACGCGGCATACAGGTCAGGCCCGGCTCGTGCGCCGCTGAACTGAACCCCTCACCAGGCGTGGCGGCGGTCACGACCGTGGCAGACCGAAGACGAGATTCGCCCTGGGACCAGCGATTATTAGGACACGCCTGGCTCGGGGCACGCGGCGGTGAGCACCCCACCGGAAGTGAGAGGACATACCCGGAGAGAGCCGCAGGAGGTAGACCGAGCATGAAACAAACGCGTCCCCCGGCTGTGACAGCAATAACGAAGCGTCAGATTGCATAAGCCCTCTCCAAGTGGCGAAAACCAAATTGCAGGGAAACTGAGCGGCTTACAACCGGTCGTTACGGTGATGACTGCCAAACGTAGCGGACACACCACGAACAATTTATGGTTTGAAGTGCCTCATGACCGTTGAGCACCGAGCCATCCCGGGCTAAATGGGCTGGGCGCAACGCAAACTATGCGTCACAAATTGGGAAACCAAACCGCGAGGGGTTCGGGAGATCAATGCGCAACCCAGAGTGCGCACAAGCAGCAAGAAAACATGGTGCACGCTTCTATTCGGCCTGGGAGCACTTGCGCCGAAATGACCAGGCTTACGCCAATATCTTCACATGACATCGGTGCAACGAGCACAAATCCACGGATGGTGTATCCGTCCGGACAGAAAGAAAATACGGTGGTCTTTCGTCGTCGCGGTGAAACGCTTTCAACTGCGCAGTGAGGCGCAAACCATGGTATTGGGCAGCACGGCACGCACACCGACAGAGCGACGAGCCATCTTTAACGCTAGTTCATGTGATTGTAAACTATCTACACCGCGATACCGGAAGGTTCCGGCGCCCAGACGGCATGACATTTCCTCAGCCGGGTGGTTGCCAGAGATAGGCGGAACCATTGCAGGCGCAATGCGCACGCGGCCTGAACACGTGGCCGGCCGAGCGGCGCTGCTGAAACACATCGCTGGCGCCCTAACGGCTGCCACGACCGCTGCCAGCGCTCCAGTGACGGAGGCTCGCGCTGTGGCTCCCCAGTGACGGAGGCCCGCTCTGTGACGTTCCAGTGGCGGAGACTCGCGCTGTGGCGCCCCAGTGACGGAGGCCCGCTCTGTGACGTTCCAGTGACGGAGGCTCGCGCTGTGGCGCCCCAGTGACGGGCGCCCGCTCTGTGACGGACGGCGGACGTGGAAATACTCTCAAGGCATATCGTTTCTCGGTAAAAATTCATAATGACCTGGGCTAAAACGCTGTTCGTTGCTTGGCTTGCTGCAATTTGTAGAATTCATATGCAAAAGATCATTGAATACTTTATAAAAATGTACTACCGCTCACACTTCAACAACAAAATCTCAGCAAATTTAATCGACGCTTTCCATCAATTTTGAAAGGCAGAGTATTTTGACGACGGGCGAAAGTAGTCGTAAAACACTTCGCACTCGTGAATTTCCACTGTTTTCATTGGCTTCTGGCCCCAATAGCCTGGGCTCACGAATGACGCTGTTTCCCAGGGACGATCGGTCTCGGTTCCGAGCACGCCATAGTGTGCTATGTTCAAGGTGGGCTTCCGAAAAGCTGACAAGATCTGTTTCCCGGTTTATTATTGACGCACACACGCATCGGACAATATTGGCAACGCTTTATGCATGCTGAACAACACCGAACAGCTGATTTCACGTCTCAGCCCCCTCGGGTCGCTGTGATCTGGCATCAAACCTTAAAAACACCCGCAAACAGACCAGTCAATGGTTTGTGTATGATTACGCATGGAAGTCTGCACATAGCGACCGAGCCTTTTGCCGGTACGACTGCCCATTTCCTCCTCTGTAAGTGCTAGTCCCATTTCTTCCCCTGTTGGCACGAGTATCATGTCGTTGTGATGTCTGTACCTGATTCCGACGCGTGTTCGTCGGCTTTTTCGCGTTTTGGAAATCTTACTTTCCCCAAGAAAGGGCAGATGAAGTAGTGGCGCCAACTATTGCAGACATACGCCAGCCCATCGAACAGCTGGCATTGAAGTGCCTTTAAATATAGGGACACAAGTCCTTAACAATGCTACAACTCGTTGCTGAATGGCGGTGCAATCAAAGGTCACAAAGATGTAGGTTTGTGCAAAGAGTGACTGGCGCGGCTGGGCAGCACCGGGTAGCTGAAGCCACATAATTGTCCGTCCATTGACGGCAAGACCTGCCCGCCCTGCGGCCTCGCTCGTAATCGGAGATCAGAGTAGAGCCAGGTGCCAGCCTCATTTCACCTCGACCCTTAAGTGAAACTTCTAAATTCGAGCGCGGCCGAGGGTGCACGGACGCGTTTTGGACGGCCACCTATTTTCATCTTCAGCGACTACACGCAGCTAGGCGCCGTCGCCACGCTTTTGGCGGGGTTATATCTACGCAACACATGAGCGCAGCTCCGACCATTTTCAGCAAGCGCTCGGATAGTTAAAAATGTTCTAAAATGTGTTCAAACGTCTTGCATGCAACCCGTTAAATCAGACACGTTTCCTCCAACAGTGCAGAAGAAACAAGTTTAAAGGCTCTCGGTGCTAAGCACGAATACTTGAACTTAACGAATTGCGAAAAAAGCGGCTCCACACCCGTCTCCGTAGAAACAGCATGAAAACAAAATGGCCGCAAAATAACGTCCAAATGATAGAGTTGCACACATACCCAGCTGCGTGACGTTTGTTACGCATACTCAGGCACAAACCATGGGTTCGCGGTTCTTGGGAAAGTCATGGGCAGCCAGAGCTGAAGAGGGAGCAAAACAAAATGCATGATATGAATGATTGCACCGTCTGTCTTCCCACCCTCCAGGCCAGCTGAACTCAGCTCGGTCTGTCGGGACGCCGTTAACGCACCCGGATGATGCCAACGTCATCTTTTTAAGAACCAAACTCCAATGAAACTTGCTGGGGTCTGCCAGAGACGGAGCTACTGAAAAGCGCAGGACGATTACCTCATCCGGATGAAGCATCCATTTATGATGACGACTCTAGTTCTTGATACATCCATTTGCGATGAATGTCGACCCAAACGGCGACGTTCTCGTAAACCCTTCGGTTGAGATCGCAGTAAACACCAATCAAGCAAAACGTCTCGAGTTGCCAGTGCACATGTGCGGTATAAAGCTCCCAGCGCTCACGCACTGTCGACCTTTAGCGTCGCTCTGTGTGCGCGAGCCGCCGCGTCGCGCGCACAGTGACGAGGCCGAGAGGATCCTGCTCCGGCCGGGGTGGCGCCGGCGTCAGGACCGTCAGCTGCCGTCATCGGGCGCCACCCGACCGCAGCCCGACAGCCGCCGTCCGCGCGGTCCGCCGGCCCTGACGCAACCGGCAGTCGTGAGGGCCAGCCGGGCGACGTCCAGTGCGTGCCGAGGGAGGCCGCCGACCGCGCCCGGCGACGTCCGTAGTGAAACCGCCCCGAGGGCTGTCACCAACAGCTCCGGTCGAGGCCCCGAATACCCCAGCTGTCTGGAGTCTCTTCAGGGGGAGGATCTCGCCGAAATTCGTGCAGACCCGACTCAGCACGAGTCCTCGATCACCCGGACGTCACTACAGGCATCGACGACAGCACCATGTCTGCGCACTTTGTTCGAAAATCTGGTTCTCAGTCCTACCCCTCCACCCCCCCCCCCCCCCCCCTCCACCCCCCTCCCACACACAAAGCTCTGACCCTTCCAAGCGTAGCGGGCTCATAAAAACCTACGCTGGGAGGCACTATTCTAGGGCACCACGAAAATGTATGCCCGATTATATACAATGTAAGTTTCGAGCCGCGCTGCAAGCTCGCTGACTGACCTGAGAGCATGTGCGAGCAATAAAACCGGACTACGTTTCCGTGCGTATCGCAGAGAGCGAAAACAGTCAAATGTCCTAATCAGAGCACACTGTTAGTCCGGGCCGCCTCTCTTCGGACCGGGCACCGCACAGGCGCTGGTGCGCTGGCTGCCGTTGGGGGCTCCAGTAGTGCAGTGGTTAAGCTGCGCGTCTGGGAAACCAGAGGTAATTGGCCCGATCTTCCGCATCGGCCGCCCTTCCTGACAGAGCGACGCAGGCGACGCCATGTAGCCTCACCAGCTGGGTGCATCGTAAAGTGATGACGGCGGCCGGCAACCGACGATCGGCGACCGACGGCCGGCGACCGAGGGCAGACGATCGGCAGCCGGCGACCGACGATCGACGACTGGTGATCGACGATCGGCGACCGGCGACCGGCGACCGAGGCCGGCGACCGACGATCGACGACTGGTGATCGACGATCGGCGACCGGCGACCGACGGCCGGCGACCGACGATCGAAGACTGGTGATCGACGACCGGCGACCGGCGACCGGTGACCGACGGCCGGCGACCGACGATCGACGACTGGTGATCAACAATCGACGATCGGCGACCGGCGACCGGCGACCGGCGACCGGCGACCGACGGCCGGCGACCGGCGACCGACGACTGGTGATCGACGACCGGCGACCGGCGACCGACGGCCGGCGACCGACGATCAAAGACTGGTGATCGACGATCGACGATCGGCGACCGGCGACCGACGATCAAAGACTGGTGATCGACGACCGGCGACCGACGGCCGGCGACCGGCGACCGACGACTGGTGATGGACGACCGGCGACCGGCGACCGGCGACCGGCGACCGGCGACCGGCGACCGACGATCGACGACTGGTGATTGACGATCGGCGACCGGCGACCGACGGCCGGCGACCGGCGATCGAAGACTGGTAATCGACGACCGGCGACCGGCGACCGGTGACCGACGGCCGGCGACCGACGATCGACGACTGGTGATCAACAATCGACGATCGGCGACCGGCGACCGGCGACCGGCGACCGACGGCCGGCGACCGGCGACCGGCAACCGACGACAGGTGATCGACGACCGGCGACCGGCGACCGACGGCCGGCGACCGACGATCGAAGACTGGTGATCGACGATCGGCGACCGGCGA